TTCGTAAACATGCGATAGCGTGAAAACGATTTTTGCAGAATGATTTTCTGGTTTTATTTTTGAAAAATGTACACATATAAGCAAGCATATTAGCAACAAAAAGACTTTGTTTTTTTGAATAATAATAAGTATATATATGAGCATGTTGAAAATAATTTGTTGTTTTTGACACAATAATACAAAAGTAAATCTAGACAAAACAAAATGTTATGCTGTGTCTTACGTGCAGTAATCGTTTAGGTGTTTTGGAAACCTTACCTTTCTTCTAGAACGCGTTGTTTTTGGTCGGTTGACAGATACCACCGAAGTGTTGTCGCGGTTGTTTATTATCAGGTGAGGAAAATCAATATGATTAGGACATCCTTATAAACATACGAATTTGAGACGATCGATCCTGATGCTATCGCTAGTTCCGTTCTTGTCGATGATATAGTGTTTAGGTTTACGACGAAAGACTTTACTGGGTCCCTCGTACGCCATTTCGAGAGGTCGTTATAATGAGTCTCGATTTACGAAAACTTGCGTACTATGTAGTAAGTCAGGTTTAAAGGAAACATCAGTTGACTGTGGTCGAGTGGAGGAGTGTTGTTCCATAAACGAGTTGAGCCGCAGTGTATTCAATGTCGGCTTTCACTGCATTGCGAATATCAAGTATAACGAGAGGAAGAGCGTCGATCTTCTGTAAAACGTTTGCAGCTGTGAGTGAAGCTTCCAACTGTCGGTGAGATTGTTCTACTAATTTTTAAGCTTGTGGGTGGTAGGCGGTCGTTCAGAATCGCTTGATTCCTAGCAGTGTAATAAGAAAACGGTAAAGTTCAGATTTGAACTGGCATCCACAGTTTGTAGTGCTAGTTGAAGGGCAGTCTGTTTTTACTACCCATCGTTCGACGAAGATGTGGGCCACTATTTCAGCAGTAATGTCATTGATGGGTAATACTTCTGGCCATCGTGTGAAACGGTATACACGCGTTAAGAGGTAAGGGTCCTACCAAATCCAGATGAACATGGTCGAATTTTGTGACGAAGCCTTAGAGACATTTGTGTCTGTTTTAGTGCTGATAATTGCTGTTGTGCTAGATGATTCCAGTAAATTACTATTCAATGTATGAAACGAAACTCCAGATGTACATGACGTGGAAGTAAATTAAAGCACAGATATGTCCTCAAAGGAACTTCTTTAATTTCCAGCTATTCATAAAATAGCTTTGTAAAATAATAGTCAATAGAAAAGAATGTAATAATGCAAACTCTAAAGAGATTTTACTTTACTAATAAATGCGATAACGTTCTTTACGGGTTAATTTGCCTGTTAATTCAAAAATCTCATAAATTAATCCTTATTTATATAGATTGCTCTTCTTGAAGCCATAAAAATACCCAAACTGATATTTAAGGTTCCCCACATTGTTTCTTTTTAGGGTTATATATTCATGGTTGGAATTTCCATCGCTGACATTATCAATAATTATAGCTTCTCTGTAGCCTCATGAATGAGTGAATTTTGCGCAAAAATCTATTGTTGTCCATAAATTATAATGCCACCACATTAAGGTTTGTTTCAGGACTAAGGGTTTAGTGTTAGGATTTAGAGTAAATCGATTGACCCGTAACGTGGAATCCACCGGAAAAGAATCAGGCATTTAATATATCTAACACTGCCACTTCTATTTTGTGTGAACAAAAATAGTTTTCCTCGATCACCTTTAATCTTTAGAACAATGTAAAATAGTATTTCTGTTACCCTCTATATGTGACTTCTAAATTTTGCTCTACAACGTAATAGTCACGTTATCAGTTTCTATCATCTCGCTCCTAAATTACACTTCTACCCGATCCGGTTGATTTTTGGGGTTTTGAAGAATATCTTGTCAATGGATCATCTACAGAGAGATGAAAACTATACCATCATGGAGATTATTAGAGGCATTTTATCCATTAGGGAAGGTAGGGAGCTTGTTAATCACTAACCTGATGTCTTAAGTCTGACAAACTAGCGTAATTGTTGAATTGTCTGTGTTTGCGTCGAATATAAAATTGCCAAAATCTAGTCACATACGCCTTGGGAATAGCCGGTTAATAAATAGAACATCCACGACAGGCCTATAGGGTCTCCTCCGTTGATTTAGCTACTTTTGTCCTTACATTCAAAGGTATAACTGACGTAAACATTACACAGTTTTCAAAATGTTTATATTCTTGCTTGTTTTAGCATTTTTTTTCGTAGGATGCTGTATTTTATTTTATTTAAATACATAAATATTGGTACAAAGGGGCACCAGATACATATGCACCACACAAATCTTATTTGATTTCTGTGAGGGCTGTGATACTGCCCGGGCGCCCAAACCAAAGCAGGTGGTTTTCTTGGGGGGCCACACCCGGAACCTTTGGCCTAAAGGTCTGGTCCACGATGCAGTAGAGCATCGTGAGCAGATGCAGTCCCATGGTAGCCGATGACCGACGATCGATTTATATGTCATTTGTTCCCTCGGGATACTGGAGCCTATGTGCACCATTGGTTAGAAGGTTCTCCCCATCCAAATGTAAATTGTTACTCCAGGACTGGCCTGCGTCAACACCCAAACTAAGGATAGGGAGTGAAGTAGTCGAACGCGTCGACAACTTCACTTATCTTGGAAGTCTGATCAGTCCTAATGGGTTGGTGTCTGACAAAATCTCAGCACGGATTCAAAAAGCTCATTTGGCTTTTGCCAACTTACGTCACCTATGGCGAAGACGAGATATCCGTCTATCAATTAAAGGATGAGTATACTGCGCAGCAGTTCGTTCTGTTCTACTTTACGGTTGTGAAACATGGCCATTAAGAGTAGAAGATACTCATAGGTTACTAGTATTTGACCACAGATGCCTTAGAAATATTGCTCGCATCTGCTGGGGTCACTCAGTAAGTAATAGTGAGGTTAGACGCAGGGTATTAAGGAATGATGGTAAATCAGTTGATGAGGTGATGAATCTTCATCGACTGAGATGGTTGGGCCACGTGTTACGTATGCCTGAACACCGATTACCACGACGCGCTATGATGGCTAGTATTGACGATGGTTGGAAGAGAGTTAGGGGCGGCCAAACAAAAGCATGACATCAGTGCTTGAAGTCACTAACTTCTAGCCTGAGCCATGTTGGCAGATGCAGATTACCTGGTTGGGGTCCGCGTGACTATCGTAACCAATGGTTGGAGACTCTAGGTGACATGGCTCAGAATCGATCACAATGGCGTCGGTGTATACACTCTTTATCTTCCCTTAAACCTTGAGATTAAAATTGCTTCATAACTTTTTTCTTTCCTATACTATATCCTTATATACAACCTATAATTTATATACTACTACCACCACCACTCAATTAACTACTATGAATCCGGTGTTGATCTTGTTGTGCTAACGAGGTATGGCAACTTGGACCGATGCATAAATGTGCCTGGTCCTACGTTGTAGCTGACTGACTGACTTGGTTGGAAGGAAAAGTGACTGTAAATTTGGGGAAATGCCACTATGAGGCGCTTTTTATTATTGGAAAGAAAGGAACTTGATATCTGAGGTTTCTATGGTGATTAAAGAACTTTTCCTTGGCTAAGGACGCTTCCGCAGTAGTTCACAAGTGACAGAACCACTTACATCGCTTTAGTATCTTTGTACCATTAATTAACTTTAAAACCCTTTAATAACTGCTATGTTAAAACGCCCCCAAATGCCCTGACACAACCGAGTGTGGAGAGAGTCCACTCACCCTCTTGAAATACTCTTACATGGCCACGCATATACAGCCTATGCCATGCAAGTTCTATCTACTGCCTTCTTGCAGCGTGGGTGTCGTTTAAGAAATTGATAAGACAAACAGAGAATGTCCAGCACTCCAACCGAGTTGGCGGATATGGAGGATCAACCTAAGGGAGTTGAAAAACTCTGATTCCAAACCGATGGTGCACATAGGTTCCGGGATTCTGAGGGAACAAATGGAGTATGAACCCATTGTTGGTCACTGGCTAACATGGGACTTCATCTCCTAAAGTTGTTCCGCTGTCCTGTGAGTTAGACCACTAGGTCAAGGCTCAGGGTGCGGCTCCCTAAATAAACCACATGCTTCAGTTTGGGCGCCCGGGCAGCATTCCAATCTTTACACAAATCGAATGATTTATTTGGCTCATTTATATTTGGTGCCTCCTTATACCAATGTTTATGTGTCTAAATAAATAGACATATTAAAACAAATAATATATTTGTAATATCCCAATGAGTAGAAAAACTAGATTTTCTGACATTAATATTCTTATTGTTCCGTTGCATTATTTAAACTTGGATTAATTTTAATTCGGTTATTTATTCTTTGAAGAAGTGGCTTACACTGAATCACGAAAAGTCAGAAAATCTAATTTTTCCACTCATTGGGTTATTACAAATATATTATTTACAACAATCTATCCAATGCTCAACTTATTCGAAATTATCAAACATACTAAAAGTATCAGAATCGCTTACGATATCCTGTATACCTTAAGTCCTAAATGACTTGACTATCACGTTAGTTCAGTCGGAGATAGTTTGAATCATTCAACAACGTTTCTTAAATTATTCATAAAACTGATACAAAAACTATAATATGAACCGTAAATATGTACGAATAGACAACCAAATAATAAATGGTAATGTGTAACCAATATGATATCTTTGTATTTCCTATGGACTTACTTATAATACAAATCATTTCTTGGTGTGTAATCCTCCGGCTACTAAGTCTCAATTTTGAATCCCGCCCTACCTACTTCGGTTTGGGCAGCCAGGCGGTATAATTAGTCCTTGCACTTAGTGTGGCGCGTACCAAAAGACCTGGTAAATGAGTTTTTTAGAAACTCAAGTATCCACCGTGTGTTTCCTGCAATGTAACAGAAATTTTGCTTTTCAAGTCATTAGTTAGCAAACTTTTTTTAACTAATTTACGTTGCTTATTATATGCTGTAGGACAATTAGATAGAAGTTTGTGTTATGCCAGTTCAATTCTGGGTATTGTGCTGCTCAAAGTGTTGCACGTTTCAAGTACATCATCGTATAAAGTCGAAAACCTGGGTTTGCAAAGTTTGCTCTTGCAAGCAGTCAGTTTTAAAGGTCAGATTTTATTTCCTATCAAATGAAATTGCATCCATTTCTCTCACGGTTACATAATTTGTTGCAACTACGATCTATTCTGAAACTTTGCAAGTTCTTTATTTTACGAGAATTACTTTGACGCCTTATGCAAATTCAAATGTTTGCTTAATCTCTACTTGCAAGCACTTTTTCATTATAGTTATTAATTCTCATTTTAAAAAATTTTTTGGATTTCACTGGCCTTGCAAGCTAATGTGCATGATATGGTACAAATGTATATGAATTTAGATAACTATTCTTCGAATAGCGTAACAAAGTAAAACAAGAAAAATTAAGTTTTGAAATTACCACAATAACAGTGAGAAATTGACAGAAACAGATGACAGACAGAGTAGAAAATTGACTTATAGGATGGTATGATTCTTAGTGCTTATTCTCAAGAAAAACAAATTTATTTTTCCTCTCTGAGATGAAGAATCTAAAACATCCCATCATTGACTGCTAACATGGAGGAAGCTCTCATATCCTCATGTCGTTCAAACTAACGCCTTGTTACTTAATTGACTTCCTCTATATCTTAGTATAATCACCTGGAAGGCCTTTATAACCTTTCCGTACGCTAGTCGGCGTCCGACTTCGAGGTTTAACGCTTGTAATTTAAATTTCATTGAGTCCCATAAATATCAAAAGATGTTTGATGACATTTTTGTCAAGTCAATTTGTAAAAGCTCAATTTTCTCTTGTGTCGATTTTCTTATTGAAAGGCTCTCTAATTTCTATACTTCTGAATTCATCATATCAAATTCATTCCGAAAATCTTGAAAATTCAATTTGCGATGTTTTATGTACTGCTTATAAAGGGCCTAATACACTGTTCACTTGTTATACACAATCCTGACCATCTGCTTCTGCAACATGTGATTAGTCTCTATGATATCACTGCCAAGCTGAATAGCGAAAATCATTAACGTGAACCTGTTGGCTCATGTTAAGGGTTGGTGGTTCCATCCTAGAGATGATGCTACTGAATTGATTCTATTCCTGTTCTCTTTCTTGAATTTAACTGTCTCACGGATAATTCTGACTTTTCGTCTGGACATGCCTTCTCACTTTTACGCTTGTGGGTTTCAATCGACACAGCATATTCACCTAGCAGATCAGGTCAATTAAATAACATATTCACTAGTGTTCAACTTCAAATTATTTATATGTAGATAAGACTTTTAGTGTCATTTGAAGTTACAATGGCGAAAAGCGTCCATAAAAAGATATCTACTGTTTATTCTACAGCTGTAAATGTCCGTCATTCTCATTTGAAACAGTAGATCACTGTTAAGTGACCCCTCTCGATTGACTGCTAAAAGCTATTGGGGACTAATAAACTTTTAATGCCCTGTAACTATTTGTCCTTGGCTGCTTACAAGAACTGAAAGAAACGTATTTAACAATTTCTTATTCTCGTTGGTTGTTTAATGCGTTTTCGTCCTTAAAAATATACGTTAAATTGGCCTCATCAATAACTTATTTGAATCCAAGGTTTTCGCAGAAGGAATTGCTCAAGAATGTCGTAAAGTTGTACAGAAGTTAAATAGACAAGGTGTTCTTCGTCAAATGAATTTGCATGAATATGGGCTACTAAATCATCCAAGAGCACCGCAATCGAGTTCAAATATAGATTTGTCTGGAAAAACTATGCCAACAAAAAATTCCCTGTCCAAAGATGAAATTACCTCAGCTCAAGATATTGATACTGCTGATTCTAATGAGTGTCTGACAGTAGAGTCTCAGGAAATCTCCTACCGTTTATATCCATATTCGAAAACCTCTGGTTCTCAAACAAAGATGAACACTAGTAACCCAAAAGATATCTTAGTTCCGGTAAATATTCTTATGAATATTTTTAGTTAGAACACATTTCTTTTTGGTGTTAGTCTTAATGTATGCAATTACTATCAAATTTCATGCTGCATTTTACCTTGACGTAATACTGATTATTATTATTATTATTATTATTATTATTATTATTATTAGAAGTTTAATGTTGTGAATAGATATATTTTCCTCATAAGTAGTCTTTTAAGGTATCGAACGGTGCTTACATTTCCATTTTTATTCTAGTTCTTTAATAAAAGACATTTAATAGAGTACTTTGTAGAATCCAGCTAATCCGAATGAGACCTATCATCAACAAAGAGGTTAGACTTTTCGATGAAATGAATTTCCAGAGGGGATCCTTGCAAAAAGCTTATCAACTAATTGTAAAACTAGCATTTGAAAATATTTTGTATTCAGTGTGCGGAGAATGGTCTATGCTACTCTAATAATTCGAAATGATTCAACTAATCTATTTTAAGACGTAAAGGTTGAAATAATCAACATATAACTGTTTATCTTTTGAACAAAATATTTTACATTTAGGTTTGATTTTATCATTTCCCGTCTTGAATCGCAATAATATTCAGTTTCTTGTTAAAAAAGCATAAAAATATCTTAAATGAAGTAAAATTTCTTTTGAGTACTAATTCTTACTCGAATATTGTACGTAATAATATCCATTAAACAAATACAATGTAGACATCTCGTAATTTTAAGTCATTACATCATTCTTACAGTTTAGACAGTTAATTACAAATAGTTTCTACTAACCTCAGTACTGCTTATTCTTTTTATACCAGCTAAATTATCTGAACCGGGATAATTATAAGACTATTTTGTTTGCCATTCCAATTTCAGAATTCTACAGTTTCCAGTCAAACAAGTCCTTTTTTGCCGCCTGATAAATCAAATACAGATTCATCTCAAAAATTTATTTCAAAATGGGATATCTACTTGTAATCTTTCAAAACGAAAACTATGAGAGAAATCAAATTTTCTGATTGATATTTATTATTTCTTATTAAAAGTTTTTCCACATCATTTCTCATTCCTATTCTTAATAAGTTGATGATATGATTAGGGTGAATAAATATTTACATTTATTTTGTCACAAAATCAGCGTAAAATAGTATACTATTTTACATATAGAAGAATCAATATTTGAGAAAGCGATAATCAACAGCTCTGGGCATTGATTTACTATTTTGGAATATTAGGAAGTAAAATAAGCTTGTGCGAGATTGAAACTTGTGGAATTTGAATGATTTATTAGATAATGGTCTTAGAATTGTCTACTATTAAATCAAGTAGGTGTACAGTTCATAAAGATATTTTGGTAACCAATGCATAGCACATTAAAAAGTATGAATAAATCAACTGGTGTTATGCGTAAATGAAACAATCAATACTTGTACTAAGGAGAGGGTATACGAGTTGTCAAATGTATCCCAAAATGAGAAGATAAAATCTAGCAATGATAGGAATAAATGAAACGCATTGGATACATGCTGGACAGAAAATATTAGCTTCGAGAGACATACTGCTCTATTATGCTGACGAAGAAAATACTCCCCACATGCAGAAAGTTTCACTGATGCTGTCCAAAGAAGCACGTAAAGCTCTTATAGAATGTGAATCTTATGGATTCTGAATCATCAAAGCACCATTTAAAACAAAGGAGGAGATAATCGCAATGAATGTTATCCAGTGTTATGCACTTACCGATGATAGTAGTGAACAAGATAAAGATTAGTTTTACAAGTGGCTGCAGTTGGTCGTGAAGAAGTGCTCAGGTAGGGACCTGACCATCCTGATGAGAGGTCTAAACGCCAAATTCGGACTGCACAACACCGCGGGTATGAGGATATCATGGGACAACATGGGCTGACTAGGAGAAAGAAATGAGAATGGCGAGAGATTCGCAAATTTATGTGCATTCGACAGAATGGTTATGGGAGGCACAATATCCCCCCACGAAAGCATACACAAAGCTACATAGATCTCACCGAATTACACTACACAGAACCATAACGACCACATTAGCATCACTAAAAGATTCAGAAGGTCAATGGAGGACGTGAGAACCAGAAGAGGAGCTGAGATAGCTTCAGATCACTGCCTGGTGGTTGCCAAAATAAAAGTGAGGCTAAGGAAGCAATGAACAACTGGGCAAAGAGCATCACAAAGGTTCAATACATCCCTCCTTCGAAGTACTGACAAACTCAACGAACTCAAGATAGTTCTCAGCAACAGGTTTCGAGTCTTACGAGATCTACCGAAAGAAGAAGAAACTACTATTGAGTGTGATTGAAAAAGGTTCAAATAAGCACTAAGTTCAACGTGCCGCGAGCTGCCGGGCTGCAAGTAGCATCATCAAAGAAATGGATCTCTATTGAAATCCAGGGCACGATTCAAGAAGGGAAGAACAAGAAGACAGCAACTCACAACAGACGAATAAGAGCAGAGGAAAGAAAGGTACAGACCAAATATACAGAAGTAAACAAGCGAGTGTGGGTGGCCTATGCTCCTCCACGAGGGGTAACGGGCGTATATAAGCGAGCGATTGAAGAAGAGCATTGGAGCCGACAAAGCAAAATGCGTATAAGATCTATCAATGACGGTAGAAAAAGCTGTAAGAGAAAGAAATATGAGACAACTATTTGGTGCAATGAGGAAAGTGGTAGGGAAATATAGTAAACCAGAATGACTAGTCAAGAACAAAGAAGACGAGACAATAACCTAGATTCAAGAACAGCGGAACAGGTGGGTAGAACACTTTGAGGAACACCACTGAATCCACCTGTTGTCTCATTTTTGTCAAAATCCCCATCGTCAATTGTTATTCCGTTACAGCCTGTTAATTATCACCTTATAAGACCTTCAATTAGAACACTGATTTATTGACCAGACCAATGACACATAAGCCAGTACGAGCAGCCGTGGAGTCAAGTCTGAGTTCTTGTTGGTCCTCCGAGATTGTAGCTTCTTGCCTAACCCAGCTTTTTAGGTTCAGAATACTATTATCACCCCCCGCTATATGAATGATGTATTTCAAACACTCATTCTATGTACAAGTAAATCATACCGTAAAATATAAAATAAATACAAAAGATCATCATGGAGTTTTGTTTTCTGAACTCACAGAACAAAACTCCATCAAAATCTGTTGTTATTAAACATTGAGAAAGTTCATTCCATTTCCATTGCAACGTATTTTCCTGATCATCTAGAATATGCTTTTGATTGTAGTAGCTACGTATTTACTTAGTGACCAATATGGATATCATCTACGGCATGCAAAGTTGGAGTTCGCGAGCTTAATAGTTTTCGTGATATTCTACAAAAGTGTAGTTTAGATAATGTATCTTTTCATTTATGATTAGTTTTTTTTTCGTAGATCTGCTGACCTATTTTAGATTTAGACGAAGAAAGTCAGTTGTGGCATTCGAACATTGTTTCATTTCACTTGTTACTGAATATCAGTTTGAAATTATCTTCACAATCAACTTTAAGCAGTTGCCCTACATCTATCATTAAGTATGAATTATTCACCGCTGTAAACTAATAGATTTTTTAATAATTATATTTAATAGATATTTATTTTTTTATTTATAAGTAGCAAAGGTGTCAGACGTTAGAATCTATATCTTATTAAGAATGAAAATTGTGAAAGTAATCGTATCATGTTTTGGGAGTCTTTGAAATTGCACTTACATTTGATTGATTATGAAATTTGACGATGAAAAATTTAAATTATCCGATAAACAATTGTTATGTCATACTAAAAATTATACAATCATTGTTTCTCTATCAAATAATCATAATATAATTGTGTATATCTCTGTATGTTTTATGAATGTAATATTTGTAATGTTAAGAAATCCTAAAATATGTTTTTTTGTCACTAAATAGTTCTAATTAATATATAGAGTTCTGAAGCAAACAACAAGACTTAAAAGGAATATTTTTGTCAAAACTTTTAATGAAAAGAGATTCCCTTTAACACATCAAACGAGGTGTCGACTATGGATCAATATTGTCTGGGTCTTTTCTACATCAAAGTCAATTATTATGAATGAATGATAATGCGAGCAAAAGAGTACTTCCACTTTGTTCAAGCTTAGTATCCATTTGTCATTTTTATATAAATTCAAGTGCGGTAATTCATCGAAATGATAAGGATTATTTCATAAGAAGAATAGATACTTAGTCATTATAAATATTGAGCACAGATGAACTGTCCTACCTGATGTCATTGCCTATATTTTTGTTGTATAATTATTAAATATTTAAATTATTATATTTTTGTATTCCCCTAATTGTAAAATTTTGCTCGACGCATAAACTATTGTTGTATGTTTCTTTTTCGAGCTATTGTAAATTCATTACGAACCTTTCATCCAGCCCTCCTCGACTTACGACAGTTATACACGTATTGTAATTTCTTGATTGTGTTGATGTTAGTCAGTAATTTACCGTATATTATTGTACGAGTAATACAAAAATTGGAATTGTGTATTTATAGGTTACTTATTCACCTTGCTGTAATTTAAAAGCAATCTTAGAAAGGATAGCAGTGTCTAGTGCAGATTTAGTGGTCATATCGAGTAGTTCTAGTGTTTAGAGAACTGATAATTATTAAAGAAACTGCCCTAGCGAGATCGCCTTATTAGAAATTGAAAGTTTTCCCAGTCAATGTGTGCGTAGTCTCTATATTCGATACGCATATTTATTGTTTTGGATTTGCTGCAGTTTGCAAGAAATGATAGAGTGAAGAAGACTATTTGATGATCGCTGTTCTGAAACTTTTGGAAAACTAACACAAATGTTTGTGTGACACTGTTAGAAAATATCAAGACAAGAATGTTGTGGTTTAGTTGAGGAAGGCGTATATGTTGCTGTCAACAGTGTGTCCATGGAACTAAGTACGCTTTCAAGCTACAATGTGCCAGAGTGAGTCTTCTAGCTAATGGTGAGAAGGTTGAAGTCACCACAAGTAATTTTACTAACGAAATCAAGGAAGGAAGCCTTAGCAAATGACTCACTCGCCATAAATTTCCGCTCTCATAACTTGAGATGCACATATAAGACAGCCATTACCCCTCTTAGTTATTCGATTGCAGCAGAATAGCTCCTTGGTGTCTGTATGAAGGAGTGAGCGTGTAACATCGGAGGACTACCAACCCTTTGTTATCAAAACATGTGAAGGTTTCTTGAAGATACCAGGATGCGTAGTTTGGTTATTTTAATATGTACATAACAAGTGTTGACTAACGTTAGTTTAACGAACGGTGAGTATCTGTCTAGCAGAAGGGCGTGTTGTAAATCTAGCGGGTTGTTTGTCTTTTATGTGGAGAGGAGGAAGATGTGGGAATGTGTAGTGGCAATAGGCTCCAACCACACAATCCTGAAAGTTGAACACGAGACAACTTAGAAAATTGATATCCAATCTGTAACGCATAGAAAATCACGACGATGGAGAAGGTTGGGAAGAATGAATTGATCGGATGGCATGGCTCAACCTTGCATGTGTGTTTATTTTGATGGGATGTATCATTTTTATTCGTGTTAAATATATTGTTCTGTCTCCTGATAAATGTGTTCACCATACATTGGTGATTGTTACGATGAGTCAGTGTAGATAATGATGTGACTCCCATGTAAGATCTCATGGATAAGTTAGTCACATTATTAGAAATCTACAATTTTATGACTAGGTCTATTATTAGAGTGGTACTAATAACGAATCTAGACTATGAATCAACATTGGTAAGCTCGACTAAAGAAACTCAGTCTATCATTAATCCTCTTTTTCACTTTAATTTTATCGATCTCTTTTTACTTATGTTAACCCGTTATTCTATTAGTTTTCTGATTAATGTTCACGTGTATTATAGTATTGTAATGTTAATTAGTACTCATAACCTAATAGCTCACTCGATACTAATAACTGGTTGTCT